GAGGACGTGGCTGCTACAGGATCAGTGATGCTCAGAAGCCTCAGAGGCTTTATTGAACAAACAAGATTTGACAAGGATTATTTTTTTTTAAGAAAGGCAGATGCTCTCTTACACACAAAAAAAATTATTTTTCTCCCTGTTTCTGATCATGAGGTTGAATTTTGCCCTCGCACACCCAGCAGAGGCATTAAGCAGACTCTGGCTTGATCTGGAGACTCGCCCCTTCTGGGCACAGGGCCTGGGGACCGCGCGGGGAGGGATGGCTGGGGGACAGAGGTGGGGGACAAGACAGGACGGGCTCACAGGGCGAGCCTGGTGCACTGAGGCACTCGGGGGCTCGGCCGCAGTCAACCCACACAAGGTACAAAAACCCATTCCCCGGTGCCGGGGGGCCAACTGCACCCCACAGCATGGGAGAAATAGCGGGATGCAGGGAGGACAGGGGGTCGTGGACACAGTGGGGGGTACCTGCCCACCTCCCCACCAGCAAGGAGGTGCCCATGGGCACCCGCTCAGCTGCAGCAGGGGAAGGGCGACTAAAGCAACCGACTTCTTGGGACAAGTCTGGGTTAGAAAAATGAATTTGTGCCAGTGAAGGCACCAGCAGGCACCAGCCGAGTGAGCTGCCCTGCGTGGTGGGCAGGGGTGCTGGGTGCTGGGGGGAGCAGGAGGACAGAGGGGATGAGCAGGAGCAAAGGACTCAGAGGATCAGCCATGGCCTGGACCATGTTGCAGATGTGCAACCCCCAGTTACTTGTCCTGTCCATCTGCAAAGAAGAAGAAACAAGGATTGCCTGGCTACCTCCTCCCCGAGGGCATGGGGCGATCTGGGAGCCCCGAGGGAGTTTCCACACAGGGGAGATGGGGGCAGTGAGAAGTAGCCAGTGGAGAGGAGACCCCTGAGCCTGCTCACCATTGCTCTTCCGAGTCGCTCTCTGCCTCCTCTGAGGAACCTGTGTTGCAAGAAAGCCCCACATCAGCTCACATCAACAACCGCGTTAGCTGCCGTCCTCCTCCCCTCCCGGTGTTCTCACCCCTGGACTACACCCATGGCTATGTGCTAAGGGAGATGCCCACCCCCAACCCCGCACAGCCCAGGGCACAGCACAACCCACACGTGAGCACCCCAGAACCCATCCTTCATCTGCCTGGGGCTCTTGCTACCTAACCATGGGGTGGCTGGGATGTTCCCCCCAGCCCTGGGCACCAAGATGGCATCGCCCCAGCAAACAGGGGCTGCAAACCCACCCATGCCAGGTAACTGGTATCCATCACAGCCAATCTTTGGTCTCTTCTCGCTGTAGCGGGCGCAGAGGTGGGCACTGCCTGCCTGGTTACAGCACCAGTCGTACAACTTCAGCTCCTGGTCTGGAGACAAAAATTAGAGTAAGGGGCTGAAGGGGAGAGGAAAGGGAGATGGGCTGGCTCTGGGCAGGCAGGGTGTTCGCCTCAGCTTTTGGCAGGTCCACGCTCCCACCGAGGGCAACAGCATGTCAGGAAATAGGTTGGCACAGAGATTAAAATGATTTACAGGCTACAGCGATGCCAGCCTCAGCCAGGGGATGCCAGGGCTGGCTGTGCTTACCGCGGTAGGGCGAGGCCTGCCTGGAGGGCCTCCAGTACCTCTCCTGCCGCCCCTCGATGAGCTGGCTCTGGCTGTCGTACAGGCAGCGGATGCCGGCACCATGCTGGTTGGGGGAGGCGGAATGCAACATGGAGATGCGGGCAGCCCACCAGCCTGCAACAAAGTGGCAGTGAGCCTCAGCACAGCTCCCCCTGGCCAGCATCCCTGCCCTGGTGCAGCTCTTCCCAGCCAGCATCCCTGCCCCAGGGCGACAAGCGGGACCGGGGTTGGCTTCTTGTTACCCATCACTCCCACCACGTCACCCACGGTGCTACACGCAGTTTGGAGAGACTGATGGAGACCATACAAGTGGTTGCCCAAGGTGAGACCCTGGTGCTGGGGAGGGTCCATCCCCGCTGTCCCCATGCAGCTTAGACAGCTCCATCCAGTCTAACAAGACAGGGACAGGTCAGCCCTCATTCCTCCCCGTTTTCCCTGTCTCTGCAGGGAAGGGCAGCCCCCCCTCATTTTCCTTGGGGTCCCCTGCCCACCCAGCCAGGAGGGACCCCAGCCAGCCTTGCAGGGGAGATGAGGAGGGACAGCTCAGGGACGAGGAGGGTGGGGAAGTGGCGTGTCCACTTGCCTCCCCGGCTGCTCTTGAAGCGTGGGTCCTGCTGCCCTTGCTGCAGGGAGCAGGGGCAGGCGGGCAGGCCCTGGCTCCATGCCCGTGCCTCCTGCTGCTGCTGCTCCATCCACGCCAGGCACTTCAGCCGGTAGTTGATGCCCACACGGCTCTCCAGCTTGTAAATCCACAGCCCACGGAGGTCTGAGCAGGGAGAGAAACCATGACTTGCCATCTCTGGCCAAGGGAACCGCAGGGGCAGTTTCGGCTCAAGGTGAGAGCTGAGTGATGCTAATGCTGGAATCTAAGCCTATGTTGACCCCCAGCCGTGGGACCCCATGCTTAACAGCCACCCAACGGCAGTGAAACAGGGGGAGAGGCTCTTGCCAAAGAAGAAAGCCTTGGAACAGAGCTGTTGCAACAAAAAGGGTCCATGGACACGTCAAGGACGTTTCAGCCTCAGGGCATAACTGGTACCCAGGGGAAGCATTTTATGTGCTTGGGGGGAAAGTCTGGCCTTGGTGAACTCAATGAGAGCCTTGCCACAATGGCAGCGTGGATTTCATCCCCTGGGAACCTCCCCCTCCCTGTGCAGCCCTTCCCCAGCACCCCGAGGAGCTGCATGAACCCACCCCGGCTGTGCAGCACTACCTGTGTTGTAGCCCCTGAACTGGTCAGGGCGATATTTAGCGGCTGGAGGTCTCTGAGTCAGGTCGTCGTTGCGGTAAAAGCCATCCCCGCTGCATGCAGAGGAAAGAGGAAAAATCAGGGGTTGCTCTTCCTGGATGGGGTTATCCCAGCCCCAGCCCCAGCCCCAGCCTGCCCTTCAGCCACCCTGATCCCGAGCCGGCGGGACCCCACAGCACCCAAATCACAGCTTTGGGGACAGGCAAGCAAAGGCACCAGCTCCCCCAGCCTACTGCCTCCTCTCTACAGAGTGCAGTTAGTTTTGGGTGCTGCAAACGCTCCTGCTGCATCATGGGCCGAACCCGCAGACATCTCAAGACCGGCGCGAGCAGCTTCCATGGTGTTCAGCATCTTGCAGGGCAATACGGAGCAGAAACCCACAAGCAGTCATGCACAGGCAAGCACACACACATGCCTGTGCCGCCCGCGCTTCCCGTCCCGGCCACCTTTTCCTTACCCAGCTGCAGCAAGCAGCTAATGAGCAAACCCTGGAGACGGTGTGCACAGGGCAAGACGTAATGCGAGGAGGCAGGAAGCGACCGCTCCGGCCAAGCGGCGGAAATCCCTTCCCTCCACTGGTGCAAAGTTCAGCAAACATCCCCTATTCCCCACTCCTTCCACACAAACCACCAGGATGCTGCAGGCCCAGGACCCCAGAGGGATGTGTGGATCTTACAACAAGCCTGGCAAGTCAGCGTGCTGCAGCATGATCCAGCCGCTAACGGGGCAAATTTGGTTGTGAGACCCCCATATGTTAGGCTATATGGGCATGCAGACCCTATCTGAGCTACCCTTATCCTTGCAGGGCACTTCAGGGGATGTGAGTGGAAGGATTAAACCAGCCAGAGCCGAGGACGGGTCACAGCCTGGTGCTCGGAGGCGGCAGGGGTAGGGTGCTGAGCCTGCTGTACCTGGTGTAGCCGATGAGCACATTGGTGGCAGCGAGCCTGGTATAATCCCATTGCATGCCTCCCTCCTGGTACAGCATCAGGACAAAGGACCTGAAGCCGTCGGTGGTCAGGATGGCCTGGTATGTGACCGTCTGGGGAGAAGCGTTGCGGACAGGTAAGAAAGTGAGCAAAACTGTAGGGTTTAAAATTAGGGGCGTGGGTCAGTGCTCACTGGGGAACGGCAGGGCTGAGGTCCTGATGTGCAAGGCAAACGCAGCCTGGGCTGGTTCGCATTTTGCACGGAAAATGTGATGGTTTTACTTTGATGGTGTTCCATAAAAAGCCTCAAATTCACCCAATTTTATGCTCCTGAAGAACAGTGTTTCTGGTGCACAATAAACTCCCACCACATTAAAGAGAAAGATTTTACGGAGCAGGAAGAGTTCAACTAAAGATGTCCCCCACAAAAATCTGAAAACCACCAAAACATGGGCAACATGTTCTTCAAGACTGACCATGTTCACAAAACTGGTTCTTATTTTCAGGCAAGGACAAGGTGATCACCCATGGGTCTTAGGGTTTTTTTGACAACACAGCAAGCCCTTGAGCTCCATCAGCCCCTTACCCTCCGGGTGTCAGTCCGTGCTGCATAGGCAGGTGCCTTCTCCCAGGTGATCTTCAGGGTCCAGGCTGCGGAGTAGGAAGACCTCAGGTACCGCCGAATCTTCGCTTCCACGTCACGGACAAACGGAGGCTTGGCCGTGTTGAGAGTGGGGAACTCCTGCGGATTGCGTACACCCACGTCTGCGTTAGCTCCCAGTAGGGTAAAGACAGGTCTAGATTGGGGTCATTCATGGAGCACCGTGTCTAAGGGTCTGGATGAGATTTGGATGGCTCAAGAGGTGACACACACAGGACCAACAGCTCTTAGATTTGGCCCAGGAAAGGGAAACACCGCTCATGGGCTCCATCAATTACACATCTCAAGGGGTATCCACAGAACAGGTGATGAGTTCATCATCAAAAGGTGTTTCATGCAACCATGCACCCGGGTGGCTTCACTCACCTGGTAAAAGGTGGTGCCAACACCTCTGGAGAAGTCAGCATTGTCCCAAAACACAGCGATCATGGGAACTTTCTCGTGGCCATTGAAGCCACTGGGAGGAGGGTTGGGGTACGTGAAGATGCTGTTGTCCGAGGCTGGAAAAATGATTTGTCCATTGTCTGTAAACTGAGCAGAGGGATCACTCCATCAGGTGAGGTCAGGATCAGCAGGACGCCCTGACAGAGGGGTGGCAGCCCTCCCATTTCCAAGCCCACTTTCAGCAATGCCCAAGCAAGGCGACCACCCACCACCACTGAAATGGCCACAAAGTCACCTCCTTCTGCAAACAGACCCCGGCAGCATCCCAATCGATTTGTCCCTACAAGGGTCCCATCCCAGGCACCTGGTCCCTGCTGCCTCCCCCAGGTTTCTGGGGGACGGCTGCTTGCCCAACAGCAAGTCAAGCCAAGGTAGACTCACATAGAGAGAGTCATGCAGGGTTTTCCCAAACGGGAATCCAGTCTCCGGCTTGAAAAGTGGAGAATTAAAATCCACCCTCCTTTCCACGTACTCCCGATCATTTTCCCTCGCTCCGTACCGATAGAGGGGCACAGCTGCGACTGAAAAAGAAAAACAAAAAAAAAAACCCAAAACACACTTACAGCAAAGCCTTTGGTCTGTGCCAAAAACTCAAAGATCTGAAATGATTTTGCTTCCAAAGGGGGACAGGCTGGGCCGCAGGAGGACAGGGGGACACTGCCAATAGCTGCCTGGGACGCCCTGCATGTCACCTTCCCTTGCAGGATCTTGCTCCCACTCCTTTCGCTGCCTTGCACATACACAGCTGCCCCAAACCCACTGTGATGGCCTTTGTGGTCACTGTCCCCTCCTGCTCCAGCCCCATTGGGGCACCATGCTGAAGGACTGCTGATAGGAGGAGAAAAACATTGTACAGGACTGTGGTTGGGGGACGGCAGGGAATTAAACGCCCACAGCCCTTTCTAGAGATGTTTACAGCCTCCAGCTCCCTATTTATGTCTGTTAAATAAAACAAAGCATTTGGAGAGGATGGGCTTTCCAGCTGATGGGACCATACTTGAAGGCAGGCTCAGCCTGCCAAAAATGCAAGCTCATGTGCAGGAGCTCCTCATGGTGCATCTCCCCTGGGGGGCCCTGGCCCCAAATAGCCCCTTCGGTCTCTGGGCACCGAATGTCCCCCAGGACGGGCCGTCAGGAGGCCAGAGGTGTTCCTCCAGCCCGGGCTGTCCCATGAGCATCACGTACCTGTGGGGCCGGGCAGCGGGGTCAGGGCGGCCGCCAGCCGTCTTGGCAGAGCTGGAAACACAGGGGACGATGCACGGGAGGTGACAGTGGCTGCTCCTGGCCTGGGGAGTGCCTCCCTGCTCCCAGAGAGGGGGGCTGGCGGGGCTGGGCTGGCGGTGGCTGGGCTGCAGGACACGGCTGGGTGCACGGTGGCTGGGGACCCACCCTGGGCTCCCCCCTGGCCTGGGAAGGCTGCAGGGAGGCTCAACCCACTAGCAGCAGGGGCTCTGTTTGCCAGGCTGGTGGTCACCTTGCCACCCAAGAACGGCTGCAAGGCAGTGGGTGATGAGCCACTGGCAGGTCCTGGCCCCGGGACCTTTGATCCAGGGCTGCCAGCAGCGATCCCAGCGGGAGGAAGGCCAAGGAGCCCTGGGCTCCCCCCCAGTGGGGAGCGGGGTGTCCCCATGGCTGCCCCAGCTCCAGCCACACCAGGAAGGAGCCGAGCCATGTCCCCTCGCCCTGCCATCGCTCCAGGGAGCACGGCACTTGCTTCCCCTGGAATGGGACTATCAGCATCCCTAGAGGGGACCCCGGGGCTTCCTGGCTGGTGGGGGGGCAGGAGCAGGGCAGGCCCCCGCAGCGTGGCAGCCCCCAACTCTCCCCTTGCCCCTGCAGAGGATCCCACTATCGACTCACGTGCCAAAAGCGGAGTGGAAAGCCCGGGGCCGGTGGACGCCCCCTCTGCAGCATTTTCTGTCTGTGGAGCAGAAGGCAGTGCCAGGGCAGTGTTGGGGGATGCAGGGGCATGGGGAGACACTTCTCCCAAAGGTGCCAGCATTCCTGAGGCCACCTTGTCTTCAAGAGACCATGTCTGAGCACCTCCAGCATCTCCTGCCAGCCCACCCGGTGCCCCAGGCACCAGGGGTCTGCTCCCACTCTGGGTGCCAGGGGCAGAGTGGGGGTCCCCGTTGGGTGCCAGCCCCGAGCTCAGCCCATGCCCAGGAAGAAGCAGAGAAGCAGCCAGTGAGGTGGCCGTGCCGTCAGAGGTGCTGCTGCTGTCTGGAGCTACCGGGACCAGGGGTTGTGTCTCCTGGGGAGAGGTGAGGGCAGACGGGGCCAGCACTCCCGATGCAATCTGTATGATAGCTCCTGCACTGTCTCCCAGGCTGGCACCAGGGGAAGGTCCCCTGTTTGCCGAGGCTCCTCCAGGCAGCTCCACCACATTGACTTGGCTCAGTTTTGCATCAGAAAGTCCAAGATCAGCACCACTCTGGACACCAGGGGCAGACACGGTGGGTTGTTTGGGGCCAGCAGCCTCCGAGCCTGTGCTCAAGCCACTGCCGACTCCACCAGCTCCAGGAACGCTTGCTCCATTGGCAGCCTCGCCAACCATCCCAGGTGATGAAGATCCCTCTGTAGATGTGGAGGAAGATGCAGAGTGCAGCATGGCTCCCATTTCTCCATCAGGGGCTCCTGAACCAACTGGTCCCTCTCCAGCAGGGGTCTGGAACTGCCCCGAGGACCCCCCATCACCAGCTGCTTCAACTGCCCCATCTCCTGCAGCAGGAGGGACGCCTGGCCCAGCACCCAGTGAAGGCTGCAGAGCTCCAGGAGCACCACCCGCTCCTCCGAGGGCACTCGGGCTGTCTGGATCCGAAATGGAGGATGCTGCGACCACACCACGGGCAGAGGCAGAACCAGATGGGGACCCTGCACCAGGCAGTTGATCCATCCCAGCATCCGTCCCACTGCCTGCAGCTGAGCTCAGGGATGGCTCAAGCCCGGTCCTGCTGCCCGCTCCTCCCAGTGCCTGCTCCACAGTGCTGGCTCCATGCCCCTCCACTGCCGGCAGCCCCAGGTTTGTGCTAAGCTGGTCCCCAAGAGCAGGTGATGGTTGTCCCACTGGTCCATAAGCTGCTGAGCTGGGAGCATCCCACACTGAGTTCAAGCCGGTGCCTGGTCCATTGGCTCCAGGGAGACCTGCTCCTTGGGGAGCACCAGCTGATGTCCCCCATGGTTGCAGCCCCCCAAGGGATGGAGGCACGAGTGTTTCCTGGGCAGCACCAAGGTCGGGGCTCACTGGTGTCTCTGCCCCAGACACGGGGCTGGCCACAGCCCCTGGGGGTGGGTAAGCAGCCCCAGGAGCGCTGGTGGATTCACTGGGCAGGTTCCCTGGTCCTTCAGCCCCCAAGAGGTCGGGCTCCAGCCCAGTGCTGTCAGGAGGTGCAGGACCAGCTGGGGACACTTGTCCCAGTGCTGGGGCTGCTCCTGCTCCATTCCCGAGAGCTGATGGAGGGGACAGTTCGGCATTTGCCAAAGCCCCTGTTCCACCAGCCGGCAGCTCTCCAGTATTAGCAGAGTCCTGCTGAGCACTGAAGGCTGAAGGACTGATGTCACTCTTGGTATCTGCATAGGGACTGCCATCCCTTGGACCTCCTGCCTGTGCCACCTGCCCTGCACCCTCGTCCCCTTGAGCCAGGACCCCAGCAGCAGGCCATGCCAGTCCATCAGGTATGAAAGACGTTGGGCTGGGGGCATCCGAAGCTGAATTCAGTCCAGTGTTGGGTCCATCAGCTCCCTGGGGAGCACCAGCTGCCATCCCCCATGTCTGCAACCCTCCAAGGGATGGAGACAGGGGTGCTCCTGGGGCAGCACTGAGGTCAGGGCTCACTGGTGTCTCTGCCCCATCATCAGCTGCAGGCAGGGTGCCAGCCCCCAGGGGTGGGTAAGCAACACCCAGGGGTGGGTAAGCAGCCCCAGGAGCACTGGGGGTGTCCATGGGGGATGACAGGACAGTAGCAAGCAGCGGTGGCTGTTCTCCAGTGGGACTCTGCCATGGGGCAGGCTGCAGGGACGGCTCAGCCAGACCCACTGCTCCCACATCCCCTGCGGGCAGTGCAGTGGCCGGGGCTGGTGGATTCGTGTCACTCTGTGCATCAGTGGGAACCCTTGGGGTCAGCAGCAATGTGGCCATGTCCCCTGGCACTGCGGGTGTCTCGCTGGCTGCAAGCAAGGGCGCTGAACCAGGAGTGTCCGATGACATGCCAGGAGCTCCCTGCCCATCCCCGTCCCCACCGCCGGCTGGTGCCAGCGAAGCAGCTGGGCTCAGTGCAGCCTGGCCAGGGAGGAGGGAGGGCTCCCTGGGGTTTCCCACTGTTCCCGATACCGTCACACTCTCCAGAGACAGGTGGGATGAGCCAGCTGTGCTGAATGCACCATTTACTGCATCTCCCGCATCTCCGGGCACCGAAGACGAGGGACTTTCCTTGGCAGCTGGGGCCGTTTCTCCCACTGGCTCTGGGGTGATGCCCATGGTCCTGCTCACTGCCCCATCCTGCTGGGTCACGAGCAGCCCCCCAGCACCGGGGCTGCGGCTCGAGGAGTTGGCACTGGCTTCGCTTTGGATCTCCACAGGCAGGGTTACGCCTTCCTCGACTGCTCCTGGTGCCGTGGTCAGCCCTTGGCTCTGCAGCGCAGTGACGCCAGCACCCAGGAGGCTGCCAGCAGTTGGCTGTGCCCCCCAGGCGGCTGCCGGCGGCGGAGTGGTGGGGAGCGGCATAGTGGGATCTAGATCTTCTGCTCCTTCTCTGGTCACGGCCCTGAGGACGTCCTCCTTCATGTCTGCAAAGAGAGGGGTGGCCCCCAGGGGCACATCGGGAGTGGCCCCTGTTACATCAAGCTCTGCTTTTGGGGTGACAGCAGGGTGCTGGGCAGAGATGGCGGCAGTGGTCGTGGCTGCAGTGGGAGCAGCTGAACCCCTCTCGTTATCCTGAGATGCGTTAAGAGGCTTGGTCACGTTCATCAAAGTTGGTACTGTAGAGCTGTATTCATTTGCTGCTGTCACCAAAGCATCTGGCTCAGCCCTGGTGGTCGTTTCCACAGTGCCCATCACCAGGGCACGGGGTCCCTCACTCTCCATCACCATGGGAGAAGCTGTCCCCACAGTAAACAGCCCCTCAGTAGTGACAGGGACGGCGGCAGCAGCCCCGAGCCCTGCAGAGAAGCACAAAAAGCGAAGCGTTACGCCAGGTGCTGGAGCCGGTAGCCTGACAGGCTCAGCTGTGCATCCCCTCCAGCTGAGAATCGGGATGCTCCCGCCCCTTCTTAAACCCTCCTGCCTCATCCCACAGCCTTACAAGGCTCTGATTGAAGAGTCGAGGAGTACAGCCTGGGCTGCCTTAGGCACAGCATTGCACAGCACCTTTTGCATCTCCAGCATCAGCAGCTGCCAGCTGAGACAGGATACAACTCATCACAGGTCAGGGGGAGACACTGGTGCGAGCACGGAGGCAAAGGCAGCTGCTGTAACCCAGCCCAGTTATGCTGGGGATGGTACTGCCTGGCCGCTGGGGCCCAGTAAGTCTAGTTCATAGCCCCAGGGGTGTCTCTGGAGCTCTTCTGCCTGAGGACAGCCCTCTTTGCCTTGCTGCAAGGACAGCCCTGAGTGCCGTCACTTCTGCACAGCCTGGGGGGTTCTTGCATTCTTTTCACCTTTCGGGTGTCTGAGGGATATTTAAATACACTTTACCCAAAGCCCTTTGGCAGCTAGGACGGCCAGGGCTTAGTGAAACATTCCCTGGCTGCCAATGGCTTTGACCAGCTGCAGTTAAAGCAGGTTTGTTAAAGCTCTCCTGGAGTGGGAGCCCGCCTGCTTCTTCCCCCATCCCGCTTGCTCCCAACTGGGCGCAGGTGCCCGGGGCTCCCTGCCTGTGGAGGGAATATTCACAGGCTCCCAGGACCAAGCCCTGCTTCCAGCTCCCTCCTCCCACTGTCAAAATCCTGCCCCACATCCAGGAGCTTCGCTGAAAGGAGAAGGAGACACCACCCCACATCCCAGGCATTTCTGCCAGCACCCATGCGTGATGTTTCAACCCAGTCTTATTTTTAGGACAGGGATGCGGGCTCTGCGGAGACCAAGCTGCCGCCGTTGGCTCCAGGAGGAGCCAGGTGGATCTGCTGACGCTTGGCTTTAGGCGGCTGCAATTAGGGGAGACGAAGGGCACCCCAAGGGTGAGACCCAGCAGGGTTTTGCTGCAGCCCAACAGCCCGAGCCTGTTCCCCATCCCGGTGCTCCGGTTCATCAGGTTCCCTCTGCCAGGCAGCCAGATCCCCCTGCAGCAGAGGTGCCTCCAACCTCACTGCCGGCTCAGCTTGTCAGCTTGCCTATATCTTGTGCCGGAGTCATTAATGAACATTATCTCCTATGCCAGACCAGTCCTTGAAGGGTCCATCCTCCTCCAGCCCCCCCATTCCCCTCCTGGCAGGCTGCTTCCTCGCCATCTTCCCTGGCTGAAATAAGCTCTTTGCAGCAACCCCCCTCAGCCAGAGAAGCTCAGTCACTTCCCTCCCAAAAACAAAGCTCATCAGTCAAGTCCCCCCAGGTTAGTTTGGCACACTCCACCCCAGTAAATCCGTGTTTTATCTTAATTCTTCCATGTGGAGCAGGAAACGCCATCTACCCCACGCCGCCCATTCATGGGAAGTTTGTGCAAGAGGGGCCCCAGCACGGAGCACTGGCGTTTGCTCTTCCCCAGGACGTGGGAGGGATGGAAGCATCCCTAGAGCCCCGCTCTGCCAGCTGGCTTCCCTTGGCTCCCTTGCTGGAGAGGTACACGGCTTCATGCAGGCTCCCAGGCTGGGCTCTCACCTCTCCCATGGGTCCACGCCTGCAATCAGCCCCTCAGGGTGATGCCTGCCCCGCAAAACAATTTTCTAGCTCTTTGGCTGCAATGTATTCCAAGGACTGGTCATAAGAGGAGTTTCAAGTGCAGCCAGAAGGGAAAAGCATCTCACAAGTGTACCTGCTGTGCCCTGCAAGGGCTCAGGTAGCACATGTGCTAACAGAAAAATATAGGACATACCGTGCAGAATCCATACGCAGCATCCCACGAGGGTGGAAAGCATCCATCCCCTGGTCCCCATGCCTCTGGCCTCCACGCAGGCAGAGCACTGGGAAGCTCAAAGGGAGGCAAAAGCGGTGAGGAGCAGCTCGCTCTGTCCCTGACTGCCTGCCTCTCCTGCAGCACTGGAGTCCTGCAGGTGCAATCCTGCTCCTGCTCCCTCCTATTTATAGGGATGGCAGGTAGCAGCCACCACCCCCTCCCGCCCCTGGTGCTTTCCCTCCAATGCCCCTGTCACCATTCCCTTCCTGTGGAGCCCCCCCTTCCCAAGCGCTGGACACCCTGTTCAGCTGGGGCATGGGTTGGGGTTTACCCAAAGGCCACCCTGCAGGGACCTAGTCTCCCCCAGGGACCTGGGCACAGCCCAGTGCAGCTCCCTGGGCCATCAGCACCAGCTGGCGAAGCCGAGCCCAAAGCAGCACATGGCACTGCCAACAGAGGCATGGCAGCCACCCCATAGTCCTCACAGGACCTGCTACCCACAGCAGCCTCCTCGTGGTCCCCGTGGGACCCGCTCCCCATGGCAGTCACCCCACGGACCCCACAGGACCTGCTCCCCGTGCAGGGGAGGGGGCCACAGAGTGGCAGGTGGTGGGGATGGGGCAATGCCAGCTAGTGCCAGCATGCCTGTGAGGACACCGCGGGCAGTAAAATCAGCAGCTGAGCCATGTCTCAGCCCCAGGCAAGGCAGGACACAAGTCCCCACTTGGCTCAAGGCTGTCCCCACTTGGCTCAAGGCTTTCCCCAGGAGCAGAGGCAGGTTATAAAGCAGGCAGATGTATGACTGGAAGCAGGCCCTGGGGTGTCAGCTGAGCCCCTCAGCTCTC